GGCAGCCCCCTATGGGGTGATGAGGACAGGAGACCTGGCAGGCAATGGGGTGACAGATGCCAGAGCCAAATCACCCTGACAACTCCTCTCAATAATAAATCTGAGAATCCAATCTCTGCTAAATTGTTAATAGCTGCAAATGAGATACTCAGTTACTCCTTCTGATAGTGTATTTGCATTTAAATGAGTCCCTTCTGGAAGGATTCTCTTAACCCAAAGGAGTGGTTCTAAATGCTGACAGCTCCCAGCACACAGGGCCTCTGGCTCTGGTTTCACAGTTTCCCTTGCTGAGACTCATGATATCACTAGGCCACTTGATCTCTAATTTGAGATTATCAGGAAGGAAGCATTGCAGAACTCAAAGTCAAGATCCAAAGTTTAGGGTTTTTTTTGTTGTTGGTTTGTTTTTTAAGGGGCAATGTAAAGTCATAGGTTAAAAAAAAATTACATATTGGTGTATGTCAAGTTCAAAGAAGACAGATTCAAACTTTATATATTGACATAAGACATTTCCCGGTATCTTTCCTATTTTCTTTCTGGCTTCCCTATGTCTCTTAGCATGCTATGGTATCAGAAGGAGTTCAATCCTGCCATTTAATGTCTTTGACTGTTGCCTTTAACACCATCAACACAATGATCCCTTTCCATGAATAAAAAGTACCTGGTAAGATTATTTTGATAGATGCATGCATCTGTATTATCACCAGAAACTATCTTCAGTGAGTCTGGTTTCGCAGATGGAAACTACACCGGAGGGACAAGAAAGTGTGTTCTGGACTGTCCTAAGCCGCCACAGATGCACCCCTACTGCCTCAGACAACTTGAAGGAAACATCTTTCACTCTTGAGACAATTGCTGTCTTCATTTCAGAAAGAAGACAAAGTCAGGCTGTGAGTGATGGGGATCCAAGCCCAAGTCTGTTCAGCTACAAAACCTCTAACCTTCATAGTCATCTCAACATTCCAGTTCTCTTCACCTTCTCATCCTCCTGCCTTTTTATTTTATAAGGACCTTTATCTTCAACGTGAGGTACTTAACAAATCCTCCAACTAAATGATAAATTATGAAGGCTGAGCATGTTGTCTCATTCAAGGTATTTAGAACTTTCAAAGGAGAAAGGAGACAGACGCCTGCCCAAGTATGCAAGGAAAACACTTATAGACTATCAGCTCCCCTGAAGTTCTGCAATGGCAATTACAGACCATCTCATTACAGCCTCACATCACAGTAAGTCTACGGTTTAGATCCTAACTTTTTGCCATGGCTCCCTTTGACAATCTGAAGCAACCTACATAACTCCTCTTAAAATAATGCTTTTAACTGCATAAAATGTAATATGTAGAACTGCAAAGGAAACTAATTACCAATTTTAAAATACCATTATCAATATAATTTTAAAAGGCCAGACACAGTGGCTCCCATCTGTAATCCCAGCACTTTGGGAGGCCGAGGCAGGTGGATCACGAGGTCAAGAGCTCGAGACCATCCTGGTCAACATGGTGAAACGCCGCCTCTACTGAAAGTACAAAAAATTAGCTGGGCATGCCGTTGTGTGCCTGTAGTCCCAGCTACTCGGGAGGCTGAGGCAGGAGCTTGAAATCGGAAAACGGAAGTTGCAGTGCACCGGGATCACGCCACTGCACTGCAGCCTGGCGAGTGCAGAGCAGGCGAGCGAGCGAGCAAGCGAGAGACTCTTGTCTCAAAAAAGAGTTCTATATACTACTATATTTAAAAATTGTGATAATGTGGGAAAGGGCTAACAATTTTTATACTGCTTTACATGTACACTGAAATTGAACAATTAGAACAGTGAATGGTGAGAGCCATGATTCTCACTATTGAAACAGGAATTTACAGACAAAGGGAGGAGGCTAGAATGATCTGTGTGCTAAAAGATTAAAGTTGGAGACATAAGTATTTATGTTTATATATAGCTTAATACAGGTACAGGATGGTTACATATAGAAATACGTATATATGCATGGGTGAGTATACACATATATTTCTTCACTGTCTTAATTGAAAGCCCTAAACAAAATGATGACCCACACCAATAATGACCATGTCTAGGGCCCAAATCTTGATTTATATTACCATTCTCCAGTAAAAGGAACAAGGGCTCCTTGAAGTAATGGCTGATTCTAGGAATGAAGCAGGAAGTATACAAGTTGAGCCTGGAGGAACTCATAATACCATAAAGTAAGGGACTGTTAACTATCCTGTCACTTCTGCCACACACACACAAACACACACACACACAATCAAAGAGGGTATGTCAAAGGAGCACAGGAACCTACCGAAAGAGCTTCCAATGGGCAACCTGAAACAAATTGAACAACAAAATAAACTAGTAATTGATTACCAAAAGTATAAAATATAATAAATCTTCATAAGTCTATAATGTTGATATCAATAAATAATTGAATACTGGGTAGAGAATAGACACATCTTCTAGGCAGAAGAATTCCAAATACTTTATGTACACACTCTGCTCTCAGGGAGGTAGAGCTGAAGTCCCACTCCTCAGGATTGGGTTTCCTGTAGTTACTTCCTAAAAGTACAGTATGGAAAGGATGAGCAATAACATTACAGTGGAGAAACCTGACAAACACTGCCTCAGCCAGGCGGTCAAAGTCAACATCAACAGTCATAAATCACATCGATATTATAGTACCTTGATATGATGTGAGGAAAATGGGACTCTACCTCTTTCTCCTACCAATAGTTTGCAACTCCAGTCTTATCATGAGAAAAGCATCAGACAAATTGCAACAGCAGATTATCTTAGAAAATAGTTGACCATTATACCACAAAACAGTCAAGGTCATCAAAAACAAGAAAAGGCTGAGAAATTGTCACAGCTAAGAGGAGCTTAAGGGGACATGACAACTAAATGCAGTGTGATAGCCTCCATGGGTACCTGGAACAGATTTAAGAATATTAGGTAAAAACCAGGGAAACTTAAATGTAGTTAGAATTTATTTATTGACTAGTTAATAATAATGTATCAATATAGATTCATTGATTGTAATCAAATAAGAAGGTTTGGATTTGTGTCCCTACCCAATAACATATCAAATTGTAATACCCAATTTTGAAAGGGGGCCCTGGTGGGAGGTGACTTGATCATGGGGGATCACCTTGCCTTTCTGGTGATAGTGAGTTCCCATGAGGTCTAGTTGTTTAAAACTGTGTAGCACCTCCCCTTCTCTTTTTCCTGCTCCAGCCATGTAGGGCCTGTCTGCTTTCCCTCTGCCTTCCAGTATGATTATAAGTTTCCTGAGACCTCCCCAGTCATGCTTCCTGTACAGCCTAGAGAACCACGAACCAATTAAACCCCTTTTCTTTATAATTTACCTAATCTCAAGTAGTTCTTTATAGCAATACCAGAATGGACTAATTATACCAAGGTACCATACTAATGTATGAGGTTAATAGGAGACAATGGGAATGGGATATATAGGAACACCCAGTATTATTTTCTCAATTTTTCTGGATACCAAAAACTGAAAAATAGAGTCTATTAAATAAAACAAAATGTAGTGATGATTTGATTATAAAATCAGTATAGTGATATATTGAGATATCTATAAAAACAGCAATAGGGAATTAGCTGTTGTTTCTATTGGTAACAAAGTCACAGGTACTACTAACATTCTGGTGGTTGGTTGCCTGCATTAAAGGATGTGCTAAATGCCAAATTTCAGTTAGAGGTTAGTGAAACTAAAAATGAAATTTTCTCATCCAAATTCCACATTCTGGAATTCTATTCATACACCCCTTTTATAAAGATTAAGAATCTCCTGCTCTATGGTAATATTAATGGCCTAATGTTATGAAAGTGGGTCTCAGATGTATTAAGTTGTTCTGGCTTTCAAAGAGCACACATTCTATGACCAAGAATTCTAACTACATTTTGTTGGAAAGCTGTTGGCTACATTACTGCCTAACTTTGGGACCGATAGAGGGATGGATGCACTTCATTTAGCAAAGCTACTTCCCTGGCCTTGCACAACGGCACCGTTTAGATTGCTGGACAAGTCTATAGTGCAAAGCTGGCTTATATCAAGTGATGATCAATTCGAACAGCAAGGGAACTTAAAAGAGGAAACTCCATTCCACAGAACCCTAGTGTCAAGGAACCTCCCTACTGGAAAATGACTCAACAGTTAGGGGGAAACCCTGGCTCAGCTACAAAGAGAGCAAATTTAGGCCCATCTTTCCTTAAACACTCACCCTCAAACATGAAAAGATTTGGGAAAAAAGCAAAAGGGGATGGTGGGGGGAAGAAAGAACAATCTTGTTAACAGCTAGTATCAATTTAAAAAGAAAGGAAAGGGCTTATATGAATACATGCTCATTTCATTCCTAAGGCAAATTTTCATAAATCCTTAGGGAAAGGAAGATACATTCATCTGCTAATTTGGACTCTCTTTTTGATTTCCAAATGTTACAGCTGTCACCACAACAGTTTGCCCAATTAAGTGGCAGGGAGGGGAGGGGGTCCAGGGGAGAGGAGGGAGTAGGAAGAGGTGTTAGAGGAAACATCTGTGCACAAGCGCACCATAAACAACAAAATCCTGGGGCCACCCTACTGTTTCTTTGAGCACTTTCTCGGGTTGGTCCCACTTCTCCAGTCTTTTGAGAGATTCCCGTTCTATTATGTAGGCGAGAAGGCGAAAGGTTCCAGCTTTCAAAACTGAGTAGTTTGGCTGTGTGCGTACGTGTGTGTGCGCGCGCGCGTGTGTATGTGTGCCTGTTGGAGGGGGCCGATGAAACGAGCTACGAAGGGCTTAGAGACGTTCATTACCAATTTAAATTGTTTTCTCAGCACTTGAATGTTTATCCTAAAAGACAATTCCTGCTATCAAATTCAACCAAATGAACAATGCTGATGAGGAAGATGAAGAGGGTGGGAAACCCACACAGGCGAATGGAGTAGTCCATACAGCAGGGGTGAAGGGGGAGCTCTAGGAGAAAGGACGCTGTGCGGAGAAAGCCCTCTGGCTCTTCTCTCTCGGTCTATAATCCAGCGATGCTGTAGCTGTAAAAGCTTTACTAGAAAATCAACCCACAACCTCGTGGGGCGGCGATCCTCTGGCGCCGTTTTCAGGCGCCTTTCCCTGGGACCGGGAGCGGCCTCGCTCCCCCCACGGCTGGCGCAGAATGTGGTGATCCGGCTGGGGCGGGGATGACTTCATGCGGCCGGAGCTCGGCGGCGGGAGCGGCGGCTGCAGCTGGCAGGTGGGGCGCGAGCTGACGGAGCACACGGCGGGCGCGGTGGGACTGCGGCCCGTGACGGCGGGCACGGGGACCTGTGCTGACTCGGTACGGTGAAGGTAAGCAGCCTGGCTCCTGTGCACCGTGGCCGTGCTGTGCGATTTCCGCTTGGTTAATAATGGAGTTTGCTGCACAGAGGGAAGGATGAGAGAACCCCGCTGAATTCTGCAGTGGGAAAAGGAGCAACAACTAGGATGGAAATGTTAGGCGGCCAAGTGCAGAGGTTGGAGGAATGGTGTTACTGGGCAAACAAAGAAGGCGTTTTGCCTCTCTATATTCTTTTGAACGTGATCGACCGTTTCAGTGCCAGATTCGCGTACACAGTGAAGAGGACTCAAAATGTGAAATAATTTGAGTTACTCTATTGCCTTTCATGCCTTTTACCTTCGCTTGACTATTTTGAGGATTTGGAGCAGTAGGTCCCTGGCAGCAGCCTGGGGTAATCAGAAATCGTCCTTTTCTTCCTATAGTCCTTGGTCCTCTCCCTTTCCAGTTATCAGAATGGGTCTGTGCCCCTCTCAATGTCAAAACACTTGCTTCAAGACTGAACCTTTAGAAGGAGCCTCTATTTGGAGGGGAAACTTCTCTTATCTCCTACAGTTCAGCTTGGGTTGAACAGCACTTGATATCGCTTCTCCCTTCATTTGCCATTTTCTCTGTCAGTCATTTCATTGATCTTTTTTTGGACATGCTGTGCCCATTCACAGGCCAACTCTTGTCAGCTGTTATCTACCACCTGGTTTCCATGACCGATTTTGTCAAGGTCCCAGAAAGGGCACTGCCTCACACAGGCTTCTTACTCGGTATTATCCCTGTATACTGTTACCTGTGTCCTTCCCCCAAATGCATGTAACGAAATATCCTGCTTGTAGCCCAGTACCAACATGGTATCCCATTAACTCCCTTCCATGTAGTCACTGTGGCTTGAAAGCTAGAGAGGACAAATAGAATCTATTGAAGTGTGAGGGGTGTTCCCTGTGCATAGGCATAGGTTGAAGTAAAAATGTGAATTGCAGGCCACTTAGTTTTTCCTGAAGCAATTTTAGTCCAGCTAGGTTTTGAAAGAGCTAGCTCTTAAGGTTTGGGACTAATCCTTTCTAAAAGGCGGGGAAGTCCGTTTGCCTCTAGGATTCCTCAATAACCTCAAAAGAGTTTCCGGTGAGGTTTCCCCATAGGCAGTCAAAGCCATTGGAGCTGCCCAATGTAAGCCTCTGGTTATTTGAGTATCCTCTAGATTGTCTTGCCATTTACAGGTTCCTATCCCTCCTCCTAGAATTTTCCCCACAGACCCCTTGCTACTGAGACCAAGTACCTGTGCTTGTTGCCACCTAGAGATATACATTTGAATAATATGCTGTGAAATGCTTAAGATGGCTGTTGTAAGGATTGCAAATGTGCCACTTCACCAACAGGGAACAGTTGCAATAAGCCAGATTGTGGGGTATCTGTGTGCCAATGTTCTATTTAAAGGGAGATCTGTTATCTTTAAACTTGAAATTAGACTGTCTGACTCAACAGCCATGCAATTTTTAGTAAATTAGAAGATCAATGAAAAAGAAGGGGAGAGTTTGTAGCTTAAAATTTTACCTCTGCTTCCTTTCCTCTTTCAACATTATTTTTAAAGATACTAGTTATGGAAAATCATGTTAATTACATATCATTATTGCCTTTCTGATTATAAATTTCATTTTTACAAAATAACACTTTAGAAAGATTTGAATTTGTTTCTTTGTCTCTATCTTCAGTATATGAGGCATAGGGAGTTGGCGGGGGTGGGACAAAGCCCACTACTGAGTGACTACTCCAGGAACTGTCCCTTGGGGTCTTAATAACAGCCCTATGGCCCCTTTTTGTTATTATTATGTGTCAAACAGGGCTTTAATTTGAAATGTTAAATTTTTGAGATTCTAGAATTTTTACTCAGTCACATCAACTACAAGAGGTAACAAAGAACAAGATCAACAACAAACCCTCTATTCTACCACCTTTTTTCTAATATTAAAATTCTTAACAATATAAATTATTCTGAATAATGAATATTAATATAGAATAATGAATTTTAACATAGTCTTTTAAATAAATTAACCTAAGATACGTGAAATACAGATTAGTAAAACTGATCTTAGAAATACAGTGCAATTTCTGTAATGTTGACATTCATCTTTCTATTGTGGAGCAAGTACATGAGAATATTCTAATGATGGTTAAAAATTGAAAGTGTCTATTATTTAATTTCTGAAGAAACTAAACTGTTCGGCAAGAAATAGATTCAGGATTAGGAGACTGGTGCTACCGAAGGTGGAATAATACTTGCCGGTGATTTTGCAGGTGAGTTGAACCCACTAAGTTCTGGACTGGAGTTAGAGAACTCTTATTGAGAAGAAAGAAAACAAGTTAGAAAATTTAATTTTCATTTCTGTGCAACTGAGGAAGTTAATCAAACTGAAGGGATTTCTGAATTTGGACTTTGTTATGTTTAAACAAGTTTGAGGAAAGTTTCTAAATTCAGAACCCTAAGCAGAAATAGATGTATGATTCTATGTGTGAAACTGATTTATGACTTTATTTCCTTTCCTTAAAATGTTTCTCAGGGAGAGGAAAAACTAATTGGCTGGTGTTCAGAATTGAAAGAGGAATGAAAAATGGAAGGATGTGCATGACTAGATACTAAATGATTAGATGCTAAAGGAACTGCAGGCACTTTTGTGTTTGACAACATAGACCTCAAGTCAACCGACTGCTTTCCAATCACGTAAAAATAAATTTTATTCTGCTAGGCAGAAATTTAGAGAGTAAAAATTTAGGAGTCAAAGTTGGCCTCTCACAACAAAATATCTCTTTCTGGTGCTGCATTACTGCCATTAGTTACAACTGAAATAGCCTTAACATTTGAGGCTGAGGCAAGAGAACTGCTTGAGCCCAGAAGTTTGACGCTGCAGTGAGCCATGATGGCACCACTATACTTCAAACAGGGCAACAGAATGAGACACTCTCAAATTAAAAAATAATTTTTTAAAAGTTAAGAAATTTTGAAATGGAAAAGGAAAAAGTATAGTAATAATAAGGCTCAAGTAGAAATGTCATTTCTATTCAACCAGTGACTTCACTGAGAATGGGTAGAAAAAAGTGCTATTTTCATAGTGGCCAGTGACCTTAATTACCAGATTTCTATAATATTTCACCTTGTTTATTTTATCTTTATAAGTTCTCTTCTAAGTGTTTCTTTAAATGTTTTTAAAAGGCATTACTATTAATAAGTACTATGTATCAGGCACAGTGATATCTTTTAATCCAACTTGTCTCTAATTCCCTTAACGTACCCCATGCCCAACCTAAACCAAATGGATCTTCTTTCCAATTTTTACCCCATGGTTGCATTCCTATGTATCTTCATTTATTCTCTTAGCCCATCCTATTACATGTTGAAACCTTGCTCTCATCAGATACTGCCTCATTTATGAAGCCTTCTCCATACCCACCTTCCTTCCCCCATCAAATGTGCCCCTCTCTTGTCTAAATTCCTGTAGCACATTCTATTGTGGGTTATCCTTTCATGTGAACATGCTTTGTCTGCTCTTCTTAAAAAGTTCTTGAAAGCAGGGTCTGGGAATACGTTTTTATTACCTCTAATTCTGTGGTGCCCCACTACATATATGTATAGTAGGTGTTCAGCAATTTGATTTTAGTGAAGATACATGTTATTGTCCAGACTTATAAATCTATCTACCTAGTCTTCTCCACCAGCCATATTAGGCTCTCTGTATATGTGCAAATACTAATTTGTTTTTTTTTAATCTTTATAATAATAGTAAATACACTGACAGTAAATTGAAATCATTATAATCTTCAAAAGGTTTTGTGAGTTTAATGTCCTTAAATTTATACTAAAAGCATGGTAAGCTTAGCAAAACAAAACTTTAATGAAGACATTGCACCTGCTTTCGATATTCTTGCATTCTAAGCAGGGGAAGGCATCTTACACATATGAGCATTTATCTTGTTTCAAGCCACTCCGCTAGAGATTTTCATCTTTGGTATCTCATTTGATGTTTCTACTATATGCAAATTTTACACTGAGAAAACTGAGTCTCAGAGATGTCACCTGAATGGCAGAGATTTTTTTCCATATTACCACCTGCTCTTTGAAGTGTAACACAGTGAGGAAAAACATTGTAAAAACACAAAGTCAGAGCCATCAAAATAGTTTCAAATTGCCTTGTGATCAATCTTTCCAATGTTTTTTAAACTTTTAAGTTAACATCCCAAACTTTTGATAACTCAATAGACTCTATACATCTTCTCCCCAAGTACATAAAGAAGCATGCACATATAATTTTGCATACAAATGCAGTTGTTTGTGGATTCACTAAAGCTCTCTTTTAAGAATGGTTAAAGAACATCTATTTTTGCTCGCTTGGACAATATGGGTGTCCTTTATTAGCTCTTATATTTCCAGTACTTGAGATGAAGTTTTTCTTCTATTGTTCTCCCTGCTTTAAGACCTGAAATGAGAGCCCTTCAGTACCACTGACACAAAGACAGCTGATGACTAGGAAGCAAGTGCAAGTGAGAATAGTAACTCAAAGAACATTGATTCACAGAAAAAGCAAAGAATGGGAGCTCTGAACATTTCACATTCCAAATGACTTATTTAGGGTTTTCCAATCAATGCTATTTTTACAAAAAAAAAAAAAAAAAAAAAAAAAATGGTTCTCAGACTTAAGAGTATCATACTGCCACATATGTCGGAGAACATTGCCAGAAGTTGATTGGTGTGGTCCAGTTTGAAACAGATTCAGTTCTCTTAGGATGGACTTATATCTGCCTCATTATTAATATTTCTTTATGGTAATACCATCTGCAGTAATATATTTGCTTCTGCCAAGTTAAGCAAAAAATGGTAATTTAATGTTCACCTCTTCTAGGATCTAAAATAAGTGCCAGCCTAAAAGAGCTGCATATCATTTCAGATTCATAAAAATGCATTCAAATTCTCAGATGATACTTAAGGGGACTGGTACTAGCAAGCATGCTTCCTGCTGATATATTTAAAGAGTGT